ATATAGCTAGCACATCAAGGATGAGACATTCGGCATACATAAGACGATGAAGAAGACTGGCCTCTCTGCTCTCTGCTGTACTTGCTATGCTCCATCTTGGTCTGTGTAATTACACTCACAAATAGTGACATCTCTTCTCATTTTACATAACAGCATGTACAGCTCTGATTGCCACTCTTTTCATTTTCTCCAATGTTGTGCCTTCTACATTCTAGGCATTCTTTCTGCATTCTTGCTCATACATTCTAGATGTGGTTGTTTGTCCAACGGTTCTTCCTATAAAGTCATTGTTGATGTCCCATTCTCAACATATTGGTTGTGCGTAGAAGTTTGTGCACTCAGATAGACATGTTGATGTGGACTTCATTGTTTGGTGCAAGGAGCTAAGGTTTCAAAATGAGCTAGCTTTTGGGAAAATTGGGTCCTCTCATAGAAGCATAATCTTGCCTGTCTAAGGTATCTTATCTCTTCTAAGAAAGTGGCACATTGAAAATCAAATCACTGCATAGCTTTTCTAGAAAATATTCGTGCACGGACAAGCCCAGCATGCATTTTATTGGACTGTGTTAGTTCTGATTTTTACTATCTCTACTGCACATAATGTTTCCATTTGCTGGCCCCTTGTATTTACTTTGGAATTTCTACCAGAAATATGAGCTAATACTGTCATTCGAGAAAATTGTTAATGCTCATGTTGCATGAAGTCATTTGTTCCAGAGCGCCAACTTTTTTTTTAGCCTAATGCCGTTAATAAATGCCTTGGTATCACTCTGAAAGAGAAAATATATAATGTTTCAGCTATTTTTTTTATTTTTGTTAAAAGTACTTTTTTTGTTTTCGTTCCATTCCGACACACTGTGGGCATCACAATATCTTGTCAGAAAAGTGTAATGTGAAATCTTCAATGGTGCTTCTTGCACCTTCACCTCAGATTGCATTAAAGGGGCCCTGCAACACTTTTTGAGTATGTTCAGAAAACGCTGCCAATCGATAGTAGAGGCTCCTGACAACACACGAGCTAAATATTATAGCGCAGTACGCGGCCTGGAATTCACAATAAATTATCAAAGTCAGCTAAAAGTTGCTTTCTATTCTCTCGAGAAATCAGGAAATATACCCAAAAATCACATGTAGCATCGATACCATCGCATCCCATCGATCCCATCGCATCAAGCCCATCGATCAGCCATAGGCTGATTTGAACATGGCGCACTCACTCGTTACAGAGATTGCCGCGGGAGGCCGCTACTTGTCCACACAGGCGCGTGTGATCACACTGAAAAAGCCGTGCATTCAAAGAAGAAAAAAAGTGCTCAAGGTCACGGGGCCCGCGTGACGTTTCTCTGTGGCTGTGCTGTCCCTCCCTGCTTAGATTCCAGCGCTCTTGTCAGAATGAGAGAAGAGAAAATGCAATTGCAGCGTGTGACAAATCTTTGTAACTCCACCTTTACTGGACGGATTCTTAAAACTTTTGCGCCGTTGAATTCGTGAGGCACTAGGCTCTTCCAGCAAATTCATTTCGTGGTTACTTGAAAAAGTGTTTCAGGACCCCTTTAACTACTTATACGAGTACAATACCACCTACTCGCGGCGAGGTTGGGCTATATGTGGCAGCACCGTCCCCGCGCAAGTGTGGATAGGCAGTCGGTGGTGCATATACAAATACACGCAGCAGCGCTTTGTTTGCGTGCAGTCTGATTCGATAGTTGGCGTATAAAATGAGTTGACTACAGTTTACTGTTAATATCTACGCTCTTCTCTACTGAATCAGTGCACGACACTTATACAGTGTAAATATTACCCACGAGTAAAGCGCATTCTGTCTTTCATGTGGCTGCTCGCCCTGGGTGACTCTTATCACGCTTTTGCACTATATCACACCTTTGCTGTTTTGTTTGTATGGGCTTAGCTTGACGCACTGCTGTAGCATGACTGAACTACTAATTTACTTTTTCTCATCTGCATACAACAAAATATAGAGGAAAAAAATTCTAGAAAGCCCCCATATCTGTGCGATTAGTTCAGTACTACCGTTCGCACCTTATACACATGATTTTATTTTTTTCTCTCGTTCTGTTTACCATGAAATGTGGGATAAGTCTAGTCAGAAAAGCTTAGTGGCTGACAGCGCTTCGTGCTACACTGCGTTTACCGCGTGTACGCACATGTTCTTGCACCAGTAAAATAATAAAAATTTTATATAAGAGTTCAGCAGAAAGCTTTCATCGATGGATTACGTGCATGACAGTGCTACAAGGTTAATGGGACAAGAATGTTTTTTGTTTTTGTTTTTTCAGACAAAAAATGACCACTGCCTTCCGTCGGTCACTAACAATGCCACACAGACGCTGAAGACAATGTAAAAAAAGATGAAATTTTCAGTGAAATTATCGGACAATATATATAAGGCATGCTGTCTGAATTCATTTTCAACGTCTGGGCTCTTTAAAGCGTTCTTAAATCTAAGCACACGGTTGTGCACGGTAACTCTGTTTTAAGTACAGTTTAACACCGGTGTGTCACAGTTCACGTGATAGTAATATTTCTACGTAGTGGTACCACGGCCACATAAACACAACTAAGGCTGTTCGCATGATCGATAAACTACAGTGCCGTAGTTGTACACCTACTAACAGCGCGCAGCTGCATGGCGTAGAGCCTTTTTTTTTTAACATACGAGTCTCTATAAAACACTGCATTCACTCACCATTTAATAGTCATGTTTGGGAGGATGCCAAGAGCATTTTGCAATGTGCTTGAAACAAAAAGCGGCACCCACTCTGAATTATTCTGGTGAACAGCACTTAGAAAAGTTGCACTCGCCGATCTTATTACGATGCATTAGTAGCCGAGCAAGACCAAATCCTTTCGTACGTCATTTCAGGCATACGTAGAAACAGTTACACTCCCGCCGGCAGGAGCGGCCAAACCACACTTTGAAAGTGTGCATGACGTACGCGCATATAGAAATGCGACATGGCTAGCAGACGATGCACGGAGCAATCCACACTTCGCCTCTTCGGCCAGTTGCCACCAGGCGGCGACTCTGCCCCATCTCGCGGCCAATAATGCCATCTTTTTAGAATGATAGCACTGCTCTTCCTACTACAAATTTAGAAGAAAAAAAAAACAATTTTGTTTGTCGCCTTGAAGGTCAGCCAATGTCACTTTCCTTCTCTTTCTACTCGCATGTGCATTGTCACAGCAGTGGACATGCACACTGTCAGCTTGTTCTCTCCTGCACACTCTTTTCTGGCGCGTCCCTCTCGATCACCCTCTTCCGCCTGCCCATTTCTGACAACAGTGGGTGCGTGTGCCTTCAGACCTCAGTATTTGTCGTGCAATTCTCACACCAACAATATGAAAAAAAAAAAGTGGACAGCATGCCCTTGTTTGCCTGATAAGACACCATCAAAGCATGCATTCCATGGTAGTTGCTGCTATAACTAGACAAGTTTGGTTTAAGTTTGGCACTTTTGCTAATGATGCAGCTGGAAAACCATGCATACTGGTGAGGTCATGAGCTTGCTTCTCAATGGATGTGTGCTAGCCTTGGAAAGAGAATGGCAATTTTATTGAAAACGCAGATTGACAAACAAGGTGTGGAGGGACAGGAAATAAAATTGCAGCAGCAGTGCATTGAGTGGTGTAGCCATAAGAGAGGGTGATCGTTTATTCGTAGGCAGCTCAAATGTCAAGTGTGTTTCATCAAATGTGCATCACCACTCTTATACTATTCAGTCACAGCTGCTGGATGAGAAAGTCCACAGATATGACCTGCCATGTGCTCCGAAACTGGCGTGACAGGGCTAGCTTCCCGGGCAAAGTGCGGATATAAATGTGCACAGTCTCTTTAGACTGCCTTATAGGAGTTACCTGACAATTTCCTATATACAGTTGACTCTTGAAAATCATTTTGGCTTTTGTACATGAAGTTTTTTCTTTAAAATAGACCGTAAGCATCGAGCACATGCACCGCATGCACCGAGCAAATATATGGGGCTTACCTTAGGGTGCACTTTCACTCACTACTTGCTTTCGAAAAAACTGGTTTTGAGTCACAAAAAATGCTCTTTTAAGAAAAGCACAAACGTGGAAAATATTCACATAGGAACACTTGTCCAAGTTGACAAAAAAATTTTTTTTTTCTAATTTCGCCCTGCCTTGAGCCCTTAACGTCAACCCTCTTGTTTTATATTTCCTGCTGAGCAGTGTATAAGAGTGCAGCTAGATCCACACTGTTGGCAGAAACTTCCAAGTGATGACAGAGTTAAAGTGTAATGAGTAAATGGCATGGCCTTTAAAATACTTAGTTCTTACTTTATCAACTCAAATAAGGAATTTCTCTTTTGATTTTTTTATGGTTATGTTGCTACAGTTGAACACCTCTATAAGAGACACTGATGCAACAAACATTTGGATATAATATAAAAGACAACAGTGTGCCTACATAAAAATAAGGGTCTATGAGAAAATTAGAATGTCATACCTTGCTTATTAGAGACACCTGATAAATAAGGGTCTATCAGAAAATTAGAATGTCATACCTTCTTTATTAGAGACACCTGATATAAGGGACAAGAGCTACTCCCCGGTACATCCATCGGTAAAAGGGTTCTACAGTACTTAGGGCACAGACGTAGATGTGCAAGAAGATAAAAGCAGTTAGCAGTTCTTTTAATTTATGCCTCATTGTTCAAAAATTTTGGGGGGATTTAAAATCAACATTTGCGTGGCAATCATTTTGGAATCAATGTGTTAACACTCCAATCAAGTTAACAGCCTCTGAATTGCCTTCTAAATTAGGCAGTTTTCAACTGAATCATCACTGTTTTATTGCAAATAGTTGGAAGTGTCAAACAAACTAGTGTGACGATACAGCAAGCTCTTTCTTAAAGGGCACTATTTCGGCACGAATATCAATACTCTTGTAAACTTAATGAAAGTTCTCCTCAGAGTTTTTTCATTTGCATCTGACAAAGACATTTTTTTTATTGCAGCATCTGAAAAGGTGGTCTCTGTTGAAGCCAGCACTCCTTCGAGAGTTGGAGCTGATTCTAGAGTCAGTGCTACTGAGCAGCTTGACCAGTGTAAAAAGGAGCTTGAGTGCAAAGAGAGGAGAGAAGAAATCTTGAAAAGGGCCATAGTTCGGGAGCAGAACTCAAAACTGCAGTTAGAAAAAGAGCTGGCTGACTGTCAAAAGGAACTACAGTCTTTGCATGAAGCACACAGCATTATTGAAGGAGACCACGAGGCGATTGTTCAGAGAAATGTAGATTCTTTTCCAGAGCAACACCAAAATAATTTGTCTCCTGAGGGTATTGAAGGCACCACCACATTGCAGTATACTAAGTGCCGCTCTGAAGAAACCAATGTGTGTGATGATAGTTATGCTTTAATGTCACGTGTTCATCAGCAAGCCAAAGAGATTGCAAGGCTAGGTAAAGAGGAAACATTGCTTCAGGACAAGATTGTGAATCTTTTAGAGGAGAAAGCGCAGTTATTACAGAAGCTAGATACAACGCAGCATGCACATGAGGTGCTCTCAGAATCTACAAGCAAGAAGATTTCTGAGTTAGTGACTAAACTGGGTCTGCTGTCTACACAGAACAAGAAGCAACAGGAGGAAATCAGGGGTCTGAGAGACAAGTGTGATTGCCTGTCTCGAGAGAAGGTTACCTTAGAATGTGACATTAATGCAACCTTTTCAAAGCTAGAAGGGCTGCGAGTAGAAAACAAAGATTTGAGAGACACCCTGCTTGCACTAAGAAAGCAAGAGAGTCAGCTGCGGGAAATGCTAGATAAAGTAACAAATGAACTGCAGGCTGCAAAAAAAATTTCTGATGAATACAGCCAAAGTGACGAGATTTTGAGGATGGAAAAGGACCAATTGGCTGCCAAAATAGCCGATTTATCACTATGCCTGAATGGCTTGCAATGTGAAAAGCAATCACTCTATGAGGAAAAGCAAAGACTAATCCTCCAAGTTAGTGCTGGAGAAGATGAGGTGGAGCGGATTGCCAGCAAACTTCAAAATTGTGAGGAGGAGTGCAATACATTAAAAACACAGAAGATTGAACTGGAGACTTACTTGAGAGCTACTAATGAAAAATTTAAAGAATCTGAGCATTCAGCAGACCAACTTCGAGAAGAACTCAGTGTGACAAAGTTAAAACTTGACAACATGAGCTCACGTTACAATCATCTTGAAAAAGAACTTGGTACTTCCAAGGATCTGCACAAGCAGATGCAGTGGAAAAATGATGAATTGCAAAGGACACTGGAGGCAGTCGGCAGAGAGGCACAGCAAAGCAAGAGCTTCGCAAGGATGACTGCAGACAAGAGACATGTGATTGCCATGACAGAGCTTGAAGACAAAAAGAAAAGGTAAGGCAAATTTTATAACCACTACATTTTCATGTGACACATTTACTCATGATTGCACTTTTTCTTTTCTAAAAAATGCTGGCTTAGGTTTAAGGTGTAGTCTTTATGCAAGGGGAAATTTTGGCATCAATTGTGTAAACAAGAAAACACTGTGGTCGAAATTTTTTCATCTGCTGCCACGACAACCAAAAAATGAAGTTTACCAAGGTGCATCTTTATACTGGTGCACATTCACAACCCATTGCATAAGTCTGGGAAAGTTCTTGTGCAAGGCATTGTAATAACAAGGCTGTTTGTTGACCTAGTGGGTACCTACCTAATGGCATATTCTAGCCGTGAAATACCACAAACACAGAGCAAAGCAACCCACAACAAGAACCAGAAGTGCCGCCTGTCCTTGCTGTGCGTTTCTTTGCTCTATGTTTGTGTTATTTCGCAACTAAAATATGTCATTGCAATAAGTTTAAAAAAAACTCATTTTGGCGATTCCGATGTTTAGTCTATGCTCTATCAAGGCAATTTACCTGTAAAAGCATGAGCCAGAGAAAAGTATTTTCATACATGTAAACATTTAAAAAAAAAGAAGCTCGAACCTGTGCATTAACAACAAAGTTCGTCTAGCATTCTCGTTTTTCCCACCACTAAACGCTTCAGTCTTCGTATTGTTGAAAGCTCAGCTTTATGTATTAGCATCTTAAATTGGGCTGGTTGTTGCATACTGGTTTTGAATGATAAAATAACATTTGAACAGGACGGAGACGAGAGGACACAAATACGGCACTGTGTTCATGTCTCCTCATCTCTGTCCTTTTCTAGTGCTGTTTTTTCATTCAGTATCAGTTTTGTGGCCTTCTACGCGACTAGCATGCAATATCTGTATAGTTAAATAGAAATAAATAGATGCTATAGCTTTATTGGGGGAAATTCACAATGTATGCAGTTCTTCAATTAGCAGCTGTTGCTGTGGCAACTTGTGCACCAACACTGGTGGAGGAGTGCTTGCCTGCCGAACTTGCTTCAAGAGCACTTTACTGAACTGCATTGGCTGTTTTTTTCTTGCTGGATCAATTCTTACCTGTTAACAGCAGTTAATTGACCCTCATTTAAAAAAAACAATTAGAAACGGAATCACTATGGGCAAGCAAAGCACCATCTTCATATGGTAATAATAAGAGTGCATATCACAGAGATCAAGTGAACTGCTGAAATCACATCAGGCATAAAAAGGTCAAGCATGTTTTGCAAAAAGTGTTTATGACCGGGTGAATTGGTTTGTCATACTTAAGCTCGTAGAGAGCCTCACAGAAAATGAAAGAATAGATGAATCTATCAAACAAAAGGGCAGAGCACTAGGTCTTTTTGTGTTGCATCACAAAAAAATAAGAAATGGCCTTTTCATCTATTTGTTCATTGTCTTTGATACTCTATACCAGTTTAAGTACTTCACATGAAACAGCGTAAACAGCAGAGGACCAGAACTCATGGCAGTGCTGCGATGTGTTCCTTCTTTTGATAGTCTTGTGTCTTTACTTTTTGTACCAACTCTGCCCAACCAGCCATATAACTTCAAGTACGTTGTGAAATCTCATACCACATAGCTTTGTCAACAGGTCTTCGTGTCCTTGAGATGTGTGCTACATATGATTAAAAAGATGTTGCACAGGTGTCCACAACCCATACTTGTGTGGCAACATATACACACTTATGATTGATTGATATGTAGGGTTTAACGTCCCAAAAATACCATATGATTATAAGAGACGCCGCAGTGGAGGGCTCCGGAAATTTCGACCACCCGGGGTTCTTTAACGTTCACCCAAATCTGAGTACACGGGCCTACAACATTTCCGCCTGTGTGTAATATTTATTTGCTAAAGTAAATTCTTTGACTTTATTTAAGAAAAAAAATTGTCTAAAATTCAAAGGGTTAAAACAGTGTCCATTTTATGCTCACTGGCAGTGCAGGTGGCTTGTTCTTTTGAGGTATCAAGGCAGGCATGTAATGGACTGCCTTTGGGCTCAGTACTCAAGGCAGGTGTGTAACCAGCACACTGCTTCATTGTGAGCTTTAGTGAGGTCAGTGCGTGGGCAGCAGTGGCCACTTCTGAAAATGGCAAACGTTTTGTCACTTCCGATGCTGCTTCTGCTGGTCAGTGTGCATCAATTCATTGAGAAAAAAAAAATGACATTGTGACAACAAAACTTACAACTCTGAGGGTTGGTTATGTCAGATCAGTTTATTTTTAATTAGTACTTATTGCTGTGTTGATAGTCTATTTACGCATAAAGAGATAACCAAATAAACAGAGTATACTCACTTACTTGCAACTTAATTATACATGTTACATGGGCGTTTGGAAGACTCTCAAGTCACTAGTCTTATCAAGTTAACAGAGGACCCTCAACTCCACCGAAACTTCAGTGGTCAATTAGTGAAAGAAGCGAAAACAGCAACAATGGGCCCTCTCATTCAGTGTGCTCTTACACATAATTAGAAAGTACAAGAATCAATCAGTATATTTTAAAATCAGTATATGTGAGTGTTGTGAATTTCTTGGGTTTTTCTTTCCTCCACTTGATGAAATGTGCGAGCTGCACATACTCTCGTCAACAGCAATGTGCTTGTCTAGCCGTGTACTGCTTGCAGTGTGTCGGAACGAAACGAAAACCAGAAACGAAAGTAACCAAAACGTTATCTATTATTTTGTTCCGGAGTGAAAATGGAATTTTTTCAATCATTTTTTTTTTTATGCGGAAACTTGACAATCCAAAATAACCGAGGTCATGCAACATGTGCAATAATGTTCATCTCGGAGCATTAACGCGTATCTATGCAAGAATTCCAAAGAGAAGCAGTGTTGAAATTGTGCGAAAAAGCAAAAACAGTGGCAACCAGTGATCTTCATATTTAGACAAGTAGACTTCGGTGTACCTGTGACACAGGCCAGCATGGGAAGGGCATTTTCGGCATGGAAAGTTATTTTATATAAACAGCAGTCTCGCATATCAAAATATATGCTCGATGACAGACTGCTTCCGAGATCATGCTCACTCCCTTGATGCTAAGCATCAAAATTGACGGGAGTTAAGAGTGCAAAGAACAGACATTCACAAGATGAGAGGACAGGTAATGTGAATGTGTGTTTTTCGCAGTCAAAATTCTCATCAACTATGCACTATTTCTCTCGATTTCAAGTTTTGTTAAACCATCAAAATACACTCTTGACAGTATACTGTAACTTAGAAGTCTGCTGTAACTTATAACTTATGGTTTGCGCCGATTTGTAGATATTCAATGTGCAGTTAGTTGTGCTCTTCAGAATGTGAGAAGGTGTTCTACGCCTGCCCCACTTTCTTAAAGGGGCCCTTTAAGAGCATGGTCAGAAAATGCTGCCAATCGGTATTCAAGACTCTCAAAGACACGCGAGCCAATTATTATAGCACAGCACACGGCCTGGAGTTCGCAATCAATTCTCAAAATCAGCTTAACATTGCTCTCTTTTCTCTCGACAAATTCTGCTACAAGCTCAAAAAATCGCTCATCACAGCCATAGTATCAGCCATTGGTTGATTAAAGCATGGTGTGCTTTTTCGTTACTAGAGCCGCTGCAGGAAGCCATGACTTGTCAACGCATGTGCGTGTGATGGCTCTAAAAGGCCACGCGTTCAAAGAAAAATTAAAGAAAAAAAGTGGTCAAGGTCATGAGCGGCACGTGATGTATTTTCTATGCTCATGCCATCCCTCCCTGCTTATCTTCCAGTGCTTTCGTTGGGATGAGAGAAGAGAGAATATGATTGCAGCATGTGACAAACCTTTGTAACTCCGCTCGTACTAGACGGATTCTAAAAATGGTTGCGGTTGTGAATTTGTGAGGCAATAAGCTCCTTTATTGAATTCATTCCATGGCTACTTGAAAAAACGTTGTAGGGCCCCTTTATGAGATGCATACTTAACTGTGCAACAAATCCAATATATATTCATCGTTACTCTTCTTTCAACATCAAATTTTTTATACAAATAAATAACATTACAAAATGTTGCAAAATATTTTTTTCTTCCAAAACAGAAATAGAACGAAACTTTTTTTGGTGTGCACGAAACAAAGAGAGAAACGAAAAACATTTTGTTGCGACACCCTGAGTGCTTGCCACAATATCGCTGCTCAACAACTTCAAGGCTAAATATGCATTCATAACTAAAGATAAATAATGTTTGTAAATATTTAGACACAACAAATATTTGAGTTTTTAAGTGCATTTATATTACTTATAGCAAAATTTAGGGTACCAAGAGAGTTTAAATTTGGAAGTGTGAGTGCAAATTGAATATTTCTAGAATATTTCTGGAATATTTTTTTAATAGTTTGAAGTGAAATCGCAGGAAAAAAGTTGGAGAGGATACCTAAGTATGAGATAGCAACATGAAAGAATTTATTTTGGCTAGGTTGATGGAGCGCTGGTGGGGTCTAAATATTATTAATAGTGCCCCCACCTCGGCCACATCTTTATCTCCACGTTATAACTAGCATTTTTTTTTTTTCAATGGCTGTTCAAAACTGTCGTGTATCAGCATGACAACTTTGTCAAGTCTATAGAGTTGTGGCGTTTTGATGACCTGCGGATGGTTTTTCAAAAGGGCCCGTGTGACATGGGTATTAGAAGTTTATGTGCCACTTTTCGGTGTGAAGAGGATACATGGAAGTAAAGTGAGCCACTGTGTTGACATAAATGACAGATAGTGTTGCCGTATTTCAGTGCTGTACCGTTGCAATGGAGTCTCTGATCTCACAAGCAGTTTGATACTTTGCTTGGTTTGTGGAACTGGCACACATACATCACATTGTAACGCGATAGCGTTAAAGAGCTTGTTTAGCAGAAATTTTAGTGTGTATGTCGGCGTCAGTGTTGCCGTGGGCATCGTTGGTTGGGAGCATAAAAACATTTTGTGCATGACTTAAATTTCATGAGATACAAATAAAATAACAAAAATTTCTGGGTTC